CAAAAGCGTCCGCACGGCCGGCCGGCCGACCGGCCGACCGGCCGCTCATACTCAGAAATTTCCGTTAATCTAAGGAAAGACTCCGCTCGCTTCGCTCGTTCCGTAACAAGTGACAGAGAAAATGGCATGCACCTAGACTACAGCAGGCTGACGCTACGCTCGCCCCCAGGACCAGTGTCAGGGTTTCCTCACCTGTTTGTCGGCACCTGGCCCAGCAGCCGGCGGCCGGCCGGCCCCACTGCGGCGGCGGCGCCGACGGCCGGTCTGCCCCGGTCCCGGCGCGCCGCTGGTCGAGCGCCGCGCATCCGTCATGGCGCGCACCAGGATGTCGGGCCGGGGCAGCAGGTGGGCCGGCGGCCGCGGCCGGTCCGTCACGCGCACCGTGCTGGCCACGGCCGGCGCCGGCCGTCCCTCGGCCTCTCCGTCCGAGTCGTCAGCGGCAGACGAGCGCCGGACGGCCGACCGCGGCCCGCGCGCCCCGCCCTCCGCCGTCCGCGGCCGACCGCCATGCCGGGCCTGCACACAGCGAGCACAGACAGCGGGCTCAGTGCGGCTACACCGCATACAACGAGTACATAACGAGCAGGACCACAGCACGAATGCGTCTCAAACCAATAAAACTGAGCAACGAACACTTGGCATTTCTAACCATGACAAATATATACAAATATCATAGTTATAGGCTGATTACAACACAGGCAGGCGTGGACATTGACTTCCACTGACACTTCATGGCTCCCACTGACTCGGTTCTGACTCCACTGACCTGTTTTGGGTCCCACTTACCCGTCCTGGCTGTCATTTACCCACCCTGGCTCCCATGTCTGGCTTCCACTGACTCGGTCCTGGCTCCCACTTTTCTGTCCTGGCTCCCACTGATCCCCTGGCTCCCATTGACTCGATCATGGCTCCCGTTGACTCGTTTTTGGCTCCCATTGACTCGATCCTGACTCCCACTGACTCGATCCTGGCTCCCACTGACTCGATCCTGGCTCCCACTGACTCGATCCTGGCTCCCACTGACTCGATCCTGGCTCCCATTGACTCGGTTCTGGCACCAACTGATCCATCCTGACTCCCATTGACCCGCTCCTCCTCCTCCTCACTAACCCGCTCGGAGGACCGTCCAGCCGGCGGGAACGTCGACTCCTCTCGCAGGTTGATGATCCGTCCTCCGGCGGCGGCGGTGGTCGGTACATCGTGCGGTGGCGGTACTCTTGGAGGGCCTGTGGCAGCGGACGGCGCGCCGGTGAGGACAGCAGTCAGATACATAAATGGAACAGCAGACTACTATGGACGTCAAACCCCTTGAGACCCCACTTTTTTGCGATAATTTTTAAATGCGTCAACTCTCGTTGACAATATTCTGGCAATGTGTGTTTCAGAACCTGCCGAAACTTTTATTACTAAGGTATTTTGACGCCAAACGATTATGAAAGGTACTTCTCATTCACTCGTAATGTTAAATTTCACGGAACGAATCTGCTGTTTGGGTAGAGGCTACGCGCTCATGAGGCGGAGCCACGTAATGACGTCAGCGCTAAGCTCCGCCCTACCCCTCCGGCGCTCCTTGCCCGGCGACCGGTCACTCGCGTCTCTCGCTCCATTCAGGCTTGATGGTGGGCGGTAGTTGGTAGCGGTAGCGGGCGCTGGTAGATTGCATTTAGGGCAGCTGGCGCTGGTGGCGGGGCTCGAGTGTGGCCGAGCGCAAGCCTCTGCCCGGGCCCGAATTGACCTTAGCATTACGAGTGAATGAGAAGTACCTTCCATAATCGTTTGGCGTCAAAATACCTTAGTAATAAAAGTTTCGGCAGGTTCTGAAACATACATTGCCATAATATTGTCAACGAAATTTGACGCTTTAAAAATTATCGCAAAAAAGTGGGGTCTCAAGGGGTTTGACGTTCATAGTAGTCGACAGGGGCATAAATGGAGCAGCGAAAAACGGACAGACAGACAATCTACAAATGCCAAAAGACCCAACCATACACCTGAAAAGTGTTTACCTATAGAACGTTTCCCGATGACACAACCCGGCTATGTCCAGTCCCGAGACCCGTGATACACCTACACACCCAGACCCGGTCAGGAGGGTAGTCAGAATTACACCCCGTCGCAGGGGCAGATGGCAGCACTCACCGTTACCGTTCGAGCGGGCCCGGCCCGAAGGCCCGTCATCAGTCGACAGGAACGAGATGCGCGGATGACGCCGCCGCCGGCCCGCCGCGCCGTCACTGTCGGCAGAGCTGGCCCCATCGCGCGCGGGCGGCTCGGTGACTTTGGAACTTCGACTGGGTGATCCCTTCGACCTGGGCTGTGTTGGAGAGACCGACCGACTGGAGCCGGACGTGTCACGCGACTTGGATCGCCCAGAACTGGAAGAGTCACGTGACCTAGACCGGTCTGACCCGGACGTACCACTCGACTCGGATCGTCGAGACTTCGATGTGTTACTTGATTCAGATCCAGACCTGGATGAGTCACTTGATTCAGATCGAGAGCTGGATGTATCACGTGACTGAGATCGCCGAGACCTGGATTTTTCACGTGACTGGGACCGTTTAGCTCTGGATTTGTCACGTGATTGGGATCGTTTAGCTCTGGATTTGTCACTTGACTGAGATCGTTTGGATCCGGAATTGTCATGTGACTGGGACCGTTTGGATCTGGACGTGTCGCGTGACTCAGATCGAGACCTAGATGTATCACGTGACTCAGATTGACGGGATTTTAAGCTGTCTCGTGACTTGGATCGTCGAGGTCCTGAAGTATCACGCGACGGAGACCGTTCAGACTCGGACGTGCCACGTGACTCGGACCGTCGCGACTTGGACGAATCACGTGACCTAGACTGCCTGGAGACGGCTGAAGCGGCGGCGGCAGACTCCGAGCCCTGGTGTGCCGGAGAGGCACTCGAGTTGGAATGGCGAGACGGCGATTCATCTGGGCGCGGTTGACAGTCACGAGGAAGGCCATTTGTACTAGCATCGTTAGACGCCGGCTCTGACTGGCGGTCCGGTGTCGTCGATTTTCGGTCCGGTGACGTCGATTTTCGATCTGGTGACGCCGGCTGGCGGTCCGGTGACGTCGGCTGACGGTCTGGTGATGTCGATTTACGGTCTGGTGACGTCGATTTACGGTCTGGTGACGTCGATTTACGGTCTGGTGCCGCCTCTTGCCGGTCCGGTGAGGCCGACTGCTGAACAGGGCTCCCCTGCTCCGGCGGTGGGTCGAGACGTATTTTCTTCTCCGCTGGCTGCTCCTCAGGCGGTGGCGAGCGTTTATCAGCACTGCAGCCAGAGCCGGGTGCTGCGACCGGTCTCCTGCCTCCACTGCTGGCCGCCCTCTCTGAAATGGCAGGCATTTTCATTACATTTTAGTATAGCATTAAAACTTGATGATTTTCCCTGGATGTTCAACACTATGAATCAAGACTGATTTACATGTGCTATTAGTGCCACATATCCAAGTGATGCTAGTGTCCTCAGAGTAGTATTAGTGCCAAAAAATAACAAAAGGACAGTCAGATGCCTATTATTTTCACATTCATTATTTTCATATTCATTGAAATTTCCAATAACCTTGCAAACAAACCTTTTGCCTGCATACTCATAGTCTGAAGTCTCCCAAGGATCTGAGCCAGCCATTCCACAAAAGCAGTTGTCTTCCCTTGTAGGAAAAGCACAAGATCATTTTCCATTTGCTCTTTAGACTTCTTGTTGACCACCAACACCATAATGTAGTCAGGTAAGGCATCATCTGAAATATAGATTATTCTGTAACTTCCTGGTACATCAGCATTGTCATGTGCCTCAGTAAGTACCTATCTATGTAGCAGGGTAAACATGTAAACACTTTGGTCATTTACCACTTAGGTAGGTACCCACTTTGTAAGATTTACATGGTCACAAAATTAGGTAGTAGTAAAGCAGGCATCACACTCGCTTTTTCCAACCAGAGGCACTGTAGGTTAGGTTGTAGGTTGTAGGTTTAAGGTAGCAGGTTTTAGCTTGTAGGTTGTACGTAGTTTGTACGTAACTGGTAACTGGTAAGGTTAGGTCAGGATTGGTTAGGTTTGGTTTAGTTTTATTAGAAAGCATCTTTGGGTAAAGTGCCTCTCCTTGGTTGGAAAAACAACTGTAATGCCTGTTTTATGACTACCCAATATTAGACAATAGAAACCTAGGTATAGCAAGGCATTGGTACCAAACTGACTGAGCCTAGTGACCTGAACACCAGCATAACTAATTAATTAAGGTTTTGTGAGCTGGATAAAAGCATGAAACAATTTGCCGTTTCTTGGCCATGAACTGTTCTGCCGTACTTCACTTGATTTAACTTGAAAATCACCTTAACCCGGATGGCGGTCACAACTTACCAACAGTTACGCCGAGCTCGAGAAGCTTCGCCTGAATCGCTTTCTTAATTTTCTGACTGACTTCCGACCTAAGTCCCTCCATGTCAGCGGTATATAGGACCTTATTGTCAACAGTGATTCACAATATCAATGCCAAGGCAAGCAAATATAACCTAAAATGAACCTATATGCAAAGGATGCAAAATTGCCAGCGTCCCGCGTTTTGATCCCGCGTGCAAGCCCGCGTGTAAGTACAATTTGAGTACAATGACAAGGCGCACACAAAAGTGCTCAATTTATTCATAATTTGTTCTGCACCCTGTGCAAAAACTGCTCATGCTAGAATGGAGATTGAGAAAGGAATGAGATGTTAGTTGTAAAAAGCAAAAGTACCCGCAAGATAGGTGTTGAATAACTATTCTTAAGAATCAGGAACAGTTTTGGAACTTGGAGTGGGTGTTTTCAAAAAAGAAATATTGGCATTATCTAAAATAAATGCATTTTTTCCATGATGACGTATGCGTGAAGTTGGTCTTCATTTTAAGCTGGTAGCGTTTTTTGAACAGACTCTGCATACAAACTCAAAAATGGCGACCGTATGACATTAGTGGCGCGTTAGGCAGATTGGGTGATTTTGGGCGATATTGGTGGATATTTGGATATTACAGCGTGGTTGCTGATATCATATCATATGATATTTTCAATTTGTGGGTTGTGGTGGAGATGGCAAAATAATCGTTTTACAAATTAATTTCAGTACCTCATGAGCACTTTCATTGTATCACAATCACCCTTGGATTATTCGAAAGGAGAAATTGCCTGACTAATTGTAATGGCTTGAAATTACGAAGTGTTGTTGAAGTTGAGTTGCATTTGGATTGGATGGTAGCTCAATGCAGCTACAACTAAACAGCTCAATTTTATACAATTCAATGGGAATGTATACAACTCCAGTTCACTAAAGTGGGCTTAAATTTCAGCTGCCCCACTGGACCTTGCATTCGGGTACCAGTTTTCAACTTGAACTTGAACTCAGGCGGAGGAACGGGGAGGGCACCAGGGCACCGTGCCCCCTTTGATTTTGGCATGTTAACATTAGCATGTTAACATTAGGGAAAAAATGGGACCAAAAGTCGGCAGTACCCCCCTTAAAGGGACCCTCCCACCTTCAAAAAAGTTTATGAATTGGCATGAAAGTGATGTCGCTCGGTTCAGAAAGAGCGAAAACGAATATCTACCAAATTTCACCGAAAAATATTCACCGGTTTTCAAGATATTAGACTTTTACTTTTGTTTACTTTTTTTTGGATCTCCGCTGTTTCTAGCGACTTTATTTTAGAAGTGCGGCGTTTGCGGCAGATGTTGCGCGCAAATAGCATATACCACCGCGTGCTACAAAACGTTTTAGTCAAACATTTAAAAATCGTTAGATATTTGCGCTGACGTCACACATTCAGAGGGGTATTCCTAAGCATTAGCCCCTCTGAATCAAAATGCTGCAATTTTGAAATTCAATATTTCCGATTTAAGGCATTTCTCGATGTTGTGAGTGCCGAAACCGGTAATTGTGAGCCAGGGACCCCATTTTGGCTATCTCAACTCAAATCTAATGTTAAGGTGGGAGGGTCCCTTTAATTGAAGGTGTTCCGCCGCTACTGCTTGAACTGTAACTCCAACTGGAGTGTCTTCAGTGTTCAAAATCCATCCTATGATTTTATTAGCAACATGCTTCCATGGTCATGAGTGTGAACTTTCTGAAATACCACTCAACTTCACTATCGCTCAAAATTTGACTTATGGGGTGTACCGTGATGTACTATGTATTAGATTACATGTGCACTGCACAGTGCACTAGCCACCTACAAGTTTTCTTCTCAATTCATATTGTTCTTACCTATTTCAGTCAAACAGCTCTTGATGGCTGATCAGGAGATTTCATTGTAGATGCTGTTCTCACCAATTCAATATGAGATGTGATAAGTTAATGGCAGTTTGAATATCACTATTTGTGAGCGAGGATTCTTGAAACTTGAAGACACTGTCATGGGGTTGAAAAACTCAGGTTTGCAGACCTTCACCTGCATGATAAATCCAGTGAGGGACACAGTCTTGCTGGTTGATTCAATTTTAGCCTACCTAGCAAACTACTAAATAGGTATGCCCTTATGTTGTCATTGGACAGGCTCTGCTGAAGTGATGCTAGTTGCTATTTATCCCTATGTGATGGTGCCACATGAGTTGATGATATTTTGGAATTTGGTGTGATCTTTTCCACAGCTGAACAACATGAACAAGGAATAATAAGCTAGAAAAGGAAACTGCTGATTTCGATGATCTTACATATTTCAGTGTTAAAGCCTTTAATTGTACATATACTGTCATTTAGTTTTCTTCAGAATGAGCAGAATAAGGCTTATACAGTTGGGAAGTAGTTGCCTTTCCAAGGCTAATTTTCAAAACATATGCAGTTCTGGATTCAGGGTAAGTGGTATACCTACCTAATACCACCCTTGTGGCGCAGTTGGCAAGTGCGTTCACGTTTGGTGTGGCAGGTCCTTGGATCAAAGCTGACCTCTGGCAGCGTTTTCCTCGGCCGGCTCCTACCCAGGAGATGGCAGTAACTGGGGAGTGTTCGCTCGGTCGTGGGGATTAACGCTGTGCCAACCAGCGCCCCCGGCCGCAGGTACACGGGCCTGATCCGCCTTTAAACAGATCCTTCGGTCCGGTGACATGTCCCGAGGGCACGGCCTCGCTTCATGTCCCGGAGCAGCCCTCTGACCTGCCGGGCCCGAGAAATCGGGATAGCCCCAGCGTGTGCGGTGCCACCTGGGGTACGTGACAGGAAGCGTGCGGTCAAGGCTGTCCCGCGTAGCGGGTGCCGAAAACGCTTCGTACCACTGCCGTGTATATAGTGTACTAACCCAGTATGAATGTGTGCTACTAACGACAAAAGCCCGGGTCGGGCAACAAAAATATTAAAAAAAAGGTATACCTACCTAACTATAAATCAGGGTTACACACCTTTTTATTTGGTCCATTGCTCCAATAAGCTTTGCACCTGAGAGAAAATTGAATTAACCTGCTTCCCTTTCTCCCATATGTGAGGCATTCACAGCACTGTCTTTACTGTAGTGTGTTTGGCTAGGATGCCAATATTTGTGTGACTCTTGATGACCTTGATGTGACGGTCGGTGTGCGTCATCAGGCGCCGGCGGCGCGCGGCCTGCAGGTGCCGGCGGACCCCACCCGGCGCCAGCGGCCCGACCTGCTCTTCTCGCGACTGGAGCTCGAGCTGCGCGCCCACGATCCGGCGGTGCTCGACTCGTACGTGACGTTCCTGCAGCAGGCGGCGCGGCATCTGGGCGTTACCACCGGCAAACTGTGAGTGGCGTAACCCCCCCCCCCCCACACACACACACACCCTTCTGCCCTGGTTGGTCTCTCTCTGGACCAGTAGACATGACCGTGATGCTTAGCCACTAGTTCTTCAATTAAATAGTCCTTCGCAGTCGGTAGTACGTTGCACAGACATCTTTCTTTGCCTTGGAAATGCATACGTTATGAATATTCGCTGATTGACCGATTTACCGAATTTACCGACGCTTATTATTGCGGAGGTTTATTTGATGCGTTGTATTTTAACACGGTATCCATTATCCAACCCAGGGCACTAAAGAGATCCAGCCCATAGTAATAATTCATATTACGGTTCGTCGTGTCGTTATGTGGTGACAGGTGCCACGGTTTGCTGTGTGTGTCAGTGGTCGTTTTTTTTTGCGCGGTCGGGGTGAAGTCTCGCGCTGCTGAGACCGCTGCTGCGGCTCGCTGACGGCCCGGGCGGACTGTGATCACGTATGCATGAACTCTGCTGGACGGTGCCGGCCGAGGATGGGTGCCGCGTGGCTCGGTCGCCAGACTCGAGCGGAGGAGCCACCCGTTGTCGGAAAAGTTAGAGCCGTTGGCGTCGTCCGCACTGGCTCGAACTCTCCAGTGGTATTGATCACACGGCCAAATCGGAGGATCGGCCCCGCATCGGGTTACCATATTTAAATGTCTGGATGTTCAGGCACACGAGTTCTCACTGCGGCGTGCCCGTTCCGCGTTCCTCGTAACAACTCATGGTAAAAGACTCTGTATCCGTTGGGAAATTCGAACTGTTATCCATGCCTTGTTGTGGGTGGACTACAGCATGGGGACGCCGGAGTGGCGTCATCGTCCACCTACTGCGGTTTCGCCATTGATGCCAACAAGGCTCTTAATCAGTGTAAAACTCAACCTAAAACATCTTGTTTCTCGCACAACATACAAAGACTAGGCGCTTCACGAGCTGACATTGCTGAAGACAGTGCGTCTCCTCATGGGTCAGCCAGCGACCATGTGCATCGTTTGCGGTTTGTCTGCTGTCACATAAATAAGAGCAGTCACTAGCCAGGGCCGTTCGCTATCTGTTTTGGACGTTCTTCCAGGTCTGATGATGATGAACGGCGCTAGGCGTCCGCTAATATTTATCGACTGTTGAACATAACTCGTCCAGCCTCCTGGGCAAAAGCCTGTATTATTTTGTTAATTTGCAGTATTATTTTGTTCGTTTTCACTACCATTAGGGAAGCGATAACATATAATGGACCCATATTATTTATTAGCAAAGTAAATCAGCCTGAACGACCGACGACGTGGAAACAGTTCCTTTTGCTGTTCACATCGTAGCAAAATATCATCATAGTTAGTTTGCCTCCACTTATAACGGTCGTACCCCTATCACCAATTACAACTCAATTTGCCAATGCGGTTTTATGAAAAATTTACGCGAATGAGTCATAATTGACAGGGTCATACCCCGAGTTTTTCCTCCATTATTGAAGAGAGACATGCGTTGTGTGCATTCAGATACCCGTATAAATCACAGAAGTTGCAAAGCGTCCCCCTAAAGTGATCGGGCTTCGACAGGGGGTTTACTTTTTCATTTTCACCCGCAGTGACTGGACGATGAAAACTGCCGTTAGTGACTGTCTTTATTGATATTGTGATGTAATTATTATCCACATTTATGGAGGCAATGTTTGTTAAGTCTGTATAGTGTGTGACGAGCCCGCCTCTGCCGCCAGGTGGGAGCCGCCGCGTCACTACCAGCGACTCTCGCTGCTCAAGTCGGTGCACATTTTCGCCAAGCACAAGGTGCAGTACGAGGCGCGCACCTATTTCCGAGTTCTGGAGCTGCTGCGACTGACGGGCAGCACGGCCGACACCTACCTCGAGTACACACAGCGGATGCTGCCGGAGGGTATCGCCATGAAGGTCTCACGGGTCAGTCAGCGACAGAATTGTTTATTCCCTGTGCCGTCCACCAGAGAGCAGTGTCCCTGGCTTTGTATTGTTTCTGCAATCGAAACCCATTCAGATATGATATTCATCATGATTTGTCAGACATCGAGAACTCGCTCGCACTTCTTCAAGGATTTCCCAATTTGATGCTTTTTTGACATTCATTCAGATAATGCTACTAAGTTTTGATGAGTCGGTGCCAATGATAAGAATGCGCTTGTAAACCATTCACGCTCATTTTCCGACTCTTAATTTTCAGAAAAGTTACCACTTCCCGACACGTGTGGTTCGTGCTGGGAGCGCGGCTGCCGCAGACCGTGGACGGGTCGACATGATGGGTGGGTGGCCTGGAGGAAAGTGATTGGTGGTTTACAGCTCCGAGGAGCGGTAGTCTTGCCACGGTGGTTGGCTCTGACCAGTGGTCTCACGGCTCAGTGAGGCCCGCCGCCGCGGTGGGGGTGGAAATCCCCGTCAGCGCTGCTCCATTTGTCACCATGTTTGATCGAAGAAGTCAATGGCTCGGACAACACTCGCGGCCACTGATCGATGCTAATGCGGCCATTTCGGGCCAGTGACGACACCAAATCGCCGCCAGAACCGCTTATGGCGTCTAGCCGGCACTGTAGATCAGTGGTTCAAATAAACCACTGCCTTAATCTTTTGGCGCGCTCTTATCAGTTTGTTATAGTCTGCGGGTGCTTCAAACGGCTGCTTTACGAGTTTCTAGGACAGCAGATATTAAACCAGTGGAATAAGTATACGACTCAGAACCCCCAGCATATATGGTCATTAGGTCTACAGACAAAACGCAACGTGTGATAAGAGAAGCATCGGAATCTCAAATAATTTGTGTCATTTCTCCGGCTTTATTTAAATAGAGATTGCATGCGGCGGTCGACAATTGAAAACATTCGATCGACAGCATTAGAGGCTGAGACGAGAGGAGAAATATTGGACATGGAATATCATGCATTTGTTGTTGGTGTTTGTGTCCCGTTACGGCACACCGCCATCCGGCCCTCGGGACCGCCGCTCTGTCAACATGTGCTCCACTTCAGCTCCGTCTCGCCGTGTAGCGGTGCTCCCAGCACGCCCGGCCGTGCCGCGCCGAATACAGAAGAGAGTCGGCCGATTGATCGGTACCCGTCGCACCGGCACGCTAACGCGAGTCGACACTAAGTGGCCAATGTGTCGGCCTGGCGGCGCGGCTGGCCGGCCCCTCCTCGGGCCGCGGCTGGGAGCGACTGGTCTCTCCTCGGGTGGAGCTCGAGGGGCCGGCCCCGTGCCAGGACTGGGCCGGTCCCGTGCAGCGATGTGTCACCGCTACCCACTACCCACTGACTGCCGACTGACCCCTGACTGACCCACTGACGACCCCTGACTGACCCACTGATGACCCCTAGCTGACCCACATACTAACCCCGGACCGTGTTTCCACAGCACGCTCGAGAGAGTCTACCGGAGCATCTCAGTCAACGACCAGACCAGTCCGAATCGGACGGAAAGTCGGCATAGCGCAGAGAACGGAACGCCAGTGCGACCCACTAGTCCCCGCAGTCACATTGGTGCAGTACGATAACGCGTGAACTGATAGTTTTGGCAAGTGGGTTTGCGTGTGTGCGTTTCGACAGAACGGACACATCGATGTGAGTGATGACGATCGTAAATGAATGATTAGGGCAGTGGAGGAAGACCTGTTTTGAATTGAACTGTATGCCACTGTAAGAAATAAAACAGAGTACTTTGTAATGTTTTGTTTTCGGATGTGCTGATTTCAGCCATAGCTTATATTATGCTCTTCACTCTTGAAGCTAAGATTCGCCGAACCTTTCGGTTTTATCCACTTTTCGGTCCAGGGGGCCGGGTACTCCCATCTGCCCTGTTTTTCTCCTTGTTGAGCGTTACGAAAAAGCGCATGTGCACCGTTACGTGACGCGGAGACTAATGCCTGATTTTAAGGTCTTAGGTCAACCGATGACCCCAGTGGACATGTCGATAATTCCAAGGTCGTGGTCTGGTTTTTATCGATAACGTCGCAAAAAAAAAATATAGGGAAGGTCAACTTGGGCGTCACCTTCATGTAAAGAAGAGTTGAAAGCCGCACAGGCCAGCAAGCTGGTTGAATGAGATAGTGTTGCATATCATTCGATTCGGCGTACCCTTTGGGCTCATTGGCGGTTTTCATAACACGCTCGCCCAATTTGGTCGCAATTTGGTTTGTGCTTAACCTTAGTGATGTGTCTCACAAGGTCGAAAATGCCAACATTTTCACCCATTCAATTGCCTTTAATTGCGAGGCCTTATGAGTTATGACCGATCTAACCTTAGGTGATTCTTAAAGAAAACTCGAGGTGAGTTCAGTTCAAATTCAAATGTTCCCAGTTATATCAAAGTTTAACCGGGAAATTTTCCCCTCGGCCGGAATGGTGTCACGCAACGTCGAGATAGGCGGCAAGATAATGGTGAGGGTGAGATGGATAATTACGGAGCGAGCGAAGCGAGCGTAGTCTTTCCTTAGATTAACGGAAATTTCTGAGTATGAGCGCCGGCCGTGCGGACGCTTTTGCGAGGCTTATATGTCAGCAACCACTTGACCGATTTACATGCGGTACTTTTTGTAGGGTAGCTTCATTCCTTCTACCACGTATTGGACTATTCCCGATGCATGTGGGTGACCCCTTGTGCACGTGCCACGTGCAAAACGAAGAGGTGTCAGTTTTGTAATTGTTGCAATATCTCGGTAACTACTTGGCCGATTGCGCTGAAAGTTGGCATGTAGGTAGGCACCCACTAGGCACTGCATATCCATGTGCCAGAGTTGGGGTGCTGCCGCACGTGCGCACGTGCAGGTGTCGTTTCCAGATCTCGAGAACGGCTGGACCGATGGCGCTCAAATTTGGTACACGGTTAGGGACCAGTTAGTAGGGTGCCGTGCACAAGTCAGTTGGGACCCATTTTGCACGTGCGCACGTGCAGGGTGCCGCTCCCAGATCTCGAGAACGGCTGGGCCGATTGTGCTCAAATTTGGCACATCGCTAGAGACCGGTCAGTAGGGTGCCGTGCACAAGTCAATTGGAGGTACCCCTCGAAATTTCGCACTTGCAAGACTCACCCCCTCGCTCGCTCCGTTAGTCGCCCCAAAAGGCGCTATACTGGTGATATTCACATGTACAGTTAGCACACAATCAACCTGGCATTGGAACGGATTATGATGAAAACAGCACATTTGTCGACAAAATTGGTTTGCCCCGCGTTCGATGTCTCTCGGACGGCAAAGATTCTACGTCGTCCGGCCAATCCCGTTCAAGGTCAGCGGGGGCTCGGCTGCGGTTCTGGAACTTGATTGGCCAGACGACGTAGAATCTTCATCGTCCGAGAGACATCGAACGCCGGGTTGACCTTACCTGAAGTAGGGCAGGTGCAGCTTTTTGTAAATTGGTAAAAGGTACAGAGCCACTTACTTCACTTCCAGTTCCAATGGATTAACTTTCAAAACCCAGCGCTTCGTGGAGTATGTATAAGTGATGTCGTTGGTTTGAAGTAGCCGTTTTGGTCGATGGACGGGTCATGTCGCCGCGGTTGGACAGTGTGTGACCGGCAGGGGGCAGCGCGAACGCGCCGGATCGTCGGAGTCGTCGGAGCGGCATCCGTCGGCAGTGACGGCTGCGGACGGTGCGGCATGGGGTGCGTGCGGGTCCGTGGTGGGCTTGTGTTGCCGGTTGGGGACTAGTTAGTCCTCGACTGGCCGAACTGGTGCGTTACCCGTGCTGATTGTGAGTCGGAGGTGCTGCTGGTGCCGACAGACTGAGCTGTCCAACCTGTCTCACGCGTCAAGGTACGACGCTATTTAGATCGCGCGCTGGTGGGTGAGGGGAGGGGGTGTGAGGTGTCCGGGAACACCTCTGTACGGTTTTCCGGGAACATCTCGAAAACCTGGGGCGTATGGTGCTGCCTTTTTATACACCGCATGCTATGTCTTTTTCGCACATAAGTGTAAAAAAGTAAATAGAGACCTAGGGTCAGATCAATCTCACTATACGAACAGTCTAGGTAAGAAGTGAATGGCGGAAAATGAATTGCACCTGTTTTGCACAACATTTCCACCAGACATCGTTTAGTATACGAAGTTCGCCATCAGTTCTTCGGCAGAAACAGGAATAACTTTGTATAGACTTTTTCAGAAACACTACGCTCACCGATACATATTGACATACCTATAGACATGTAGGATGTGATCTTTTCAGGCCAAGTCATGAGTTTGACCATAGACCCTCAGTCAAATATTTAGCTAACCTGTCTCAGATTGGATTGGATGTCTCGTGAGGTTGATAAATAATGGTTCATTCGACGGTTTTCGACGAGAAAATACGATGGTGGGTGAATCAATTATCTACGCACCTACCGGCTTTATGGCAAATGTTTTGGATAAAAGTTTTCACCAAAACGTCAAAAGTATTGACCGTTTTTGCTCCTAGTAGGTGCTGGAAGCGTTGCCATTGATCAAGACTAGGGAGTGAGACATTTTAGCGGAAGAGCTGTGAGTGAACTATCGTATGTCGTATCTCCGCGGCGCTGTATGTTCTTTATGTAAATACGTTCACTTAGGGATAACGTGCCGATTGGACAAACAATGTCGAAATATTAAAATTCCACCTTGGATGAATTCTGGTCACCTGACCTTTGACCATGCCTAAAATAACCGAAGTAATTAATTCATACTTTTCGACGCTCTTTCGAACGGCACCAACTGCGTGTCGCTACAGAGTACAGAGCCCAAGAAGCATTTCTATTTGCTTCTGGAATATGTTGGAACTAGCATCAGTAAGCTGTGAACTGCGCTGTGCCGTGACCTGCAACCAAGTCATCGCATTTCGATATGTGAGGGCTGGCTGACATTTGAGTGTCGTCGCCACGCCGTGCGTCCACCGCGCGACCTCAGCATGGCAAGTGGCGGCGTTTATGGCAGAGGGGTTCCGCTAGCTCATGCGGAGGTTCCGTCAGACCCTCTTCCATCCACCGATTAGGAACTTTGGGCTGATCAGGAGCATTTTTATTTGAATTTTCTACCTTCCTGCCAGCCTAGCCAACCAGTCCGACCTGACTTACCGAATGACCATCTGGCCTGGAACGGCGACGACTACGAATGACCGCAGGCGGTACCCATCAATATCAAACAGCAAGCTTCGAGGCGGCTAGAACCGGGCCCGGCCGCCTGCACACAGGTCTCTATATGTGGCTATAGCGTCGGGCGAGGCTCCAAAAGTAAACGGTTTACGTGTGAACGTCATTCAACAGACGTCGTGTATATGAAAAATACGTTTTTGTCTCGGAAAAAACGAAACCAACTTACCTACTTTTATGGTTGCTCATGCCCCTAATACCTGAAAGGCAAACAAAGCTTCTTTAACCCGCGAGTTGCTGGGGGGGGGGGGGCGTTAAACGCCCCCCACTTTTTTCGCCGGGCCATAGCATAAAAACGGCGCGTCGCAGGCGCGCCAAATTTTGGGTACCTGTAGGGAATTGATTGAAGTCTATTGTGACAAAATTTCAAAAAAATAGGTAGGAAAAATTTTGAGATATCGAGGTTTTAGTGACGTCATGATTTCTGAGTTTTCGACCAAAAACGGCATATGTTCAAAAAATCATATAAAATCACAGAATAGACATACAGACATGCCGTAAACGGCATTAGACTGCCAATACCATGAACAATCAAAAAGCTATCTTCGATTATTGATTATCGTTTCGCATTTGCCAAAATCTTGATCTGAATCTGGGCAATTTCTCGTGACTACTTCACGACCATGATACATACATTTCTTAAATTGAACTTTTTGAGCCAAATACGTACACATATGATAAAATGAATATCACCATCGTGTTCTACGCCCCAAATTACCCATAAAACATGTGTCACAGGCTGCGAATATCAGTTTTGATTTTCGGGGATATGTGCCTACCCGGTTGACCTGACCTTGACCCTGACCTATGCTTGACTGACCCCTACATGGGGCTGACACTCTTGTAGGCCTTATATGATGGATTGTGCACCGTTTTGACAGAGTTTATGACGAGAGGCGCTAATTGCGAAGTCCTGAAGTCCATGCTACTGAAAGCCCGATTTCAGGTGTTTGACCTGACCTTGACCCGACCTGTGACCTCAAAATTCAACTTTAAAGTACTCATCTGAAGCGTCTCGTCGCGTTCTTTTGTTTGCCGCCTCGTGCGTTTCGCTGCGCCTATTGGTTCTCGAGTTATCGGCTGGGGGCGTTTAACGCCCCCCCCCCCCCCCCAGCAAACGGTGGGTGGCGAAATACCCCAGCAACTGCCGGGTTAACCCGTTCTTATACCTATAATGCTCGGTAAGTATGGACGTGTGGTGTCCGTAAAATGTGGCCAAAGACAAAATGCCCCAGGAGATTCGATTGTCGTTGGTTGTTGCGGAGCAAGTCGATTTGTCAGGTCGGTGCTTTGGATTTGTCATTCTCTCCTAGGCCATAACAAAAGGCATTTAACGATCTCGACTGCTGAGCGTACGTAGATTCTTCAATCCGCTTTGGTAAATATCAGAGAACTGCGTTTCCATTATGCCTAGTTCATCAGAAGCGAGATTGGCTGCAATTTAAAATCATCGAGCGGAGACTCTAATGTAGATTGCGGAACCGGCACGCATCGAACCGACATCCAATCAGATCCAATTCAATCCAAATGAGCCTTTCCGTTGCTAAACTGTGGAAAGTTGCCAGTTT